AACTCTTCTTTTTAAAAGTAAAATTCAGGTTTCTAGTTATTAAAACGTTTTACGATTCAGATCATATCCTCTTGCAAAACGTATGGAGTTTATTGTCAAGTTTGAGAAGGTTCATCGTAAATCACATGATAACAAATCCTAGGGGACCGGAAGGCAGATGACGTCGATAGCAGCCTAATGCTCACTCTCGAAAAGTGTACGTTAGGGTGATTGAAGAAATTTCTTATTTTTTTTTAATTTTCATTTTCTGAAGCAGGCTTAGGTACCCAATAGTTGCAAGTAAATATGAGAGGAGCTCTAGTCCAAGAAGGACTTATCCTATTTCTTTAAAATTAGATGAAAGGAACGCGTATGTGGTTGCAAAATAATAAAGTAACATAAATGTTAGAATGCACTCTAATTAACGAGCAAACAATGCGATGTAATTTGCATTAATTTTAGAACATGTCTAGCTATTAGAATAGGAGCATTTCATATTGTTAGGGTTTCATAAGGAACAAAACATATAACAGAACGTTGTACGTTAAAAAGCGAGACCCACTACAGTAGAATTCAATGTGATATTCAATGCAAAGCACATTTCCGCCGGAAACCTCATGAATTTTCCCTACCTAATTGATTAGAACACAATTGGGGGAAATGTAGGTTGTTAGAGTATATCCGGATTAAGATTAGCGAATAGATAAATATCAACCTGACCTATTACTAGTAATTACACGCACAGCAGTGCTCATTATGTATACAAGTGCAGATAGACATTATTTCGATATAGATTTCTACTGTTAGGTCTGCCATTTTTAACCCTCATGACCAGTCAGTACTTTGTTATAAAATAATATGAATCGATAATCCCCAAAGAATATCATAAACTTCGACTAGTGAAAACAATGTTTAAGATATTTTTGTCTTCAGCGCGGCTTCGCTAGCATTGATGTCCTAAATACATGTCAATGATAATCGAAAATACAATAATTTGATAAATGTGTTCTTACGTCCTCACTAGGATCTTCAGGATAAAACAGGTTTCTAATTTTTTTAGGTTAAACATATACTTTGCGTAGAATGACACTTCTCTCCTTGTTTATCGAAATTAAGGGAAAATTTTCTATCTCTCGTGAACAGTATTTTTCTGGACAAAAGTCACCCTATGCCCTTTTTTGTACCCCTGATAATGTGTGAACAAAATTTCATGATGATTGGCTAAAAGCGCAGCAAACAAACAAACTCACATTTGCAATAATAATATTAATTAGGATTAGTTATAGTTAAAAAATGAATAATTAGATACCAGAAATTACAGCGAATGTTTAAAAATAATTGTTCTGAAATTCAGCAAAATCTGCAGTCATTAAACTTTACGATTTTGTTTTAAAATAATTAGAAGCATCAATTCGAGGCAGTTGTTACAAGATTTGAATATATTTCTATAAAATGCCAAAAGTTTTATATTTGGGTTGGGGCAAATCGTACAGGCATAATATGAAAAATATTTTACACTCTGATTTTCTCAATTTCTCGGTAAAATTTAGATTGTTTTACCTTCCTTGATTGACAATGTAATTAAAAATAAATTACCTCATTACAGTACAGTAAAATATGCATTCAGGTGGGCGAATTCGCAGTTGGCGTGTACCTCCTACACACTCAATAAATCCTTTTTGCATTACCACCCACAATCAGAATAAAATTATTTCAGCGAAGACGTTGGATTTGTCAAAAAACTTAATGATCCGTGGAAAATAGGGATCGAGATAAAAATATCACTCTCCTACCCTCAGGTGTTGGCAGTTTATTTTCGATACAACGCGACGTTCTTACGTAAAGAAGTTGGAATAAAGTGTAATTGATTGGAAAGGAACGAAAAAGGTAACGAAGATCGGTATAGGCCTTCTACAAAATTGAATTAAAAGAAAGAAAAACAAACATCAATTAAGAGTAATTTCGTGGTGTCATAATTAGGTACGTGGACGAAATTAACGGGTAAAAGGAAACTGAAAACGACGATTGAACACAAAAAAGCAATTGAAACCAAAGGAAGCTTGTGGTTATGTCCATGAGTAAATAGTCAATAAATTATACATAAGTAGTAAAACAAAAACAAAAATTTATGCTACTTTATAATGTTCAAATTAACAAAAAACAATCGAATAAGATAGACCGGTAAAGGTCTAGATGATGGCCCCCACCCCCCGAAGGTGGGTAGGATCAAAGAGGAGGTCTCTCCCACCACTGTACCATAAAAAGTTCGTGGCGGTCTTACCCCCATAAAAAGTTATGGGTGTTCAAAGTTAATAAATATGCCAATTTTTATACATTTCTAGGCATGTAAATATTTATATAATCATTCTTAAACAATATTCAAAGGTAAAACTAATGAAAAATACATAAAAATATTGAGAATTTTATATAAAACATTATTTAACTATCTTTATCAATAGGGTAGGTTAGGTTAGGTTAGGTTGGCCACCCTCTTTCGATCCCCCCTACCCCCACCCCATCTAAGCCCCATAACTTTTTATAGGGGTGAGACCGCCACGAACTTTTTATGGTACAGTGGTGGGGGAGACCTCTTCTTTCGATCCCACCCACCCCCACCCCCGAATGGGGTGGGGGCCATCATCTAGACATTTACCGATAGTCCAAGATCTCAAATCCACCAAACATTATTTATTTTCTGAGTAAAAAAATGGGTGGGATAGATTAGTGTTAGTAATCTATAGAATATTGTTAAAAATTAATAAACACTGCCAGACACTTCCCACCGGCGGTAATTTCTGCCTGATGCTTTAAAGGTCGCAAAAAAATCGTAATTTTAATTACAGCTGAGTCTTCATTTTTAAATATGATACTCGCGGGACGCAAATAATATCGCTGCTACTCAGAAAATATGTAATGTCTGACCGCCCTGGGATCTTGCTGTAAGACTTTAAAGGTCTGTTTGTAAAAATAAGTAATTATACAAAACATGAATTAGAATTTATGCAAAATTCACAATTAAGGGGAATTTACAATTAGGGGAATTTTTTAAATTGATTATAAGAAATAGGTTAGGTACATATTAAAAGCTCAAATCGAAGCTTCCACTCGTTGAAAATAATTCTAGACTTTCTAAAATTTATTGTTCGGTCATCAAAAAGGAAACGGTTAAGTTCAAGTCACAATAATTATGATAAGCTGACTATTAAAAATCTAATTTCTTAGAATTGTTCCATAAAAGTACGTATTGTGATGGCGTTCGTTCTTAGAATTTTAAAGTGCGATCATTAAAAGTGGGAACGTTAAAAGCAACTGAAAATTCTCGACTGTTCCAATTAACTTCTTTCTTAGCAAGTAAAATTTATTTTATTTATGCATCGGCTTGGGCTACTGGCGTATAATATTGAATGAAATTTATATTTAAAATTATTATCTTGATTATTATCTATTTACTTCCACTATAATAGGAGATAATGACCCAAAATTTTCCGGCGCATGTTATTTCACTATTAATAGTTTCCCGTCAGAGTTAAGTTTAATTGGGGTGTAAAGGTTGGAGGTCAACAGAAGGTTACTGGTAATAATATTAGTTGATGATGAAGAGATTACATTACAAAGCTTTCGTGTTTCCTTTTTTCATGAAATGGCAAATTCGAATACACAAATACTTATACATACGTAATAAGGTGGGAATTGATTGCACGCTAAGGGATTACTTTGATTTTTTTTCTTGTTTCTTGGTACCTACGACAAGAGACCGAAATTGAATATGACGCTGTTATTTGGTTTCTGCTTTATCTCTTACTAAATTGGTAATCCAATTTCGTATAGGTATCTGTTTCGGCGCAAAAGACTATTGCCGATATTTGTAAATATTTTAAACTTATAATCATAACATTTATTTGATCAAGCAGTAGGCATTACATTATTACAATCAAAAACGAAAATACAATAATTTGATAAATGTGTTCTTACGTCCTCACTAGGATCTTCAGGATAAAACAGGTTTCTAATTTTTTTAGGTTAAACATATACTTTGCGTAGAATGACACTTCTCTCCTTGTTTATCGAAATTAAGGGAAAATTTTCTATCTCTCGTGANGACAGACATTTGACTATCCTTTTATTTAATGTAAGTACTTCCTAAATAATATAAACGTGAATGTGAATTTGTTTGTTTCTTTGTTACGTTTTCACCCCTTAAATACTCAACCGATCATCATGAAATTTTGTACACACATTATCATGGGTACAAACAAGGACATAGGGTACCTTTTATCCCTAAAAAAGATACTATTCCCGAGGAACAGAAAAATTTGTTGTGTGGAGACATTTTACGCCATAACTACCCCACCGATTATCATAACAATTTGTGCACACATTGCCAAGGGTACAAGAAAGGATATGGGTTATCTTTCATTCAGAAAACAATATTGTTCTAGAGGGATAGAAAAATTAGTTTAATGTGGTCGTCTACGATCTTTGACATGTATTTAGAACATCAAACAGCGAAATCTATTTGAACAATAAATTTTTGATTACATTACGATTTGAATATTAACAAAACTAGAAAGTGTAGCCAATTGAGTCGAATGTACTTTTACAAAGATGGAAATTCATATTCATGTAAAATTTAAATTATATTTTCAAAAATAAGTATTCCGTGTTGTTGAAGTATGCTGAATTAATCAATTCAAAATATACTCTACGACTTTGTTGCGGTTTTATATTAGTTATTCTTCTAGTTTCCATTAAATGTACACTACATTTGTGGAGGTTGACCATTGTTACTTAGATTATTTATAAATAATGTAGGTATGTACAAAGGATTTCAAACATACACTTCAATTTAAGTTTTATTGAGGATCTTTGATAACCGATAAGATTGGAGTTTTAAATCGGTTAGTGCCATCAATGTGTGCCATGTTTACCTTTCAATATAGCGCCAAATAAATACGAGAGATAAGATATTTACCAAGCGCATGTGTAAAATATTTCATTTAAACTATGTGTCTATTTTGCAGGTAAATCATTCGTTTATACCGTCGTTATGGAAACGAAACGATGACGGCCTGCTCTAATGAAAAGTATCGTTTCCATTTCCTTGTAAAAAACGCGGAATGAGCCCTCATACAGGAACAGATACAAGAAGGTCTTGCGTCCGACCGCCACATTTTGACATACTGTAAGTACCCACAATTTCTGTTATTATACTTTGTTTGATCACTCAAACAAATACATACATATTTATATTATATTTATATGTGTGTTACTGGAAATGTTTGAAATCCGTCATTGTATATCATTCCTAGGAAATGTATACCTTTCCCAGGATATGTGTGTATTAAAAAATCTTTGAAAAAATATTTGATAGATTTCCTAAATAGCCTCGGAATTGTATACATTTACTAGGGANTAGGAAATGTATATAATTACTAAAATCGCTCGGAAATGTGTGAAATAAATTATATTAGACATATTTCCTAGGAAATCTGTACATTTCCTAAATAGACATCGAAAATATATTAGAGGTAATACTAAATATTAGGCAATAAAACGGCAGGGTGTTTAGAGACGTAATGCCCCTGTCCGTCGGAAGTGGGCTGATACGTTAGATGTTAGAATAATGTGACGAGGTTATCTTCTATTCACAGAAAGCATTAGTTTTATACATTCCCTAGTGCAATATCGGAATTTCATGCAATTCCTAGGAAATGTATACCTTTCCCAGGATATGTGTGTATTAAAAAATCTTTGAAAAAATATTTGATAGATTTCCTAAATAGCCTCGGAATTGTATACATTTACTAGGGATTGTATGAAATTCCTAGATTTCATACAATTCCGGTAACATATGCACACATAATTATCAAAAGTTTTAAAGAACAGTACAATATTTTCTTTTAAGTAAGGTGATATTTTGAATTGAGCTAAAAAGTTAAAAATGTGTAGGTATGTACATACGTATACGTATGTCATTTGCAGAATTAGTAGAACTTGTAGGTGCAATCAGATTAATTTAGATACTGACATGCAGTAAATTAAAAAAAAATTACGAAATACGCAAAATATTAACTTACAGAACGTTGTTCCGTTTTAACTGCGCATTCTAACTTTATTAATTAAAAAGAAAAATATTTAAACAATTCTGTTAACACTAACTATACGCATCTGCTAATATACCACACCTTTCCAGATCTTTAATGTTTTGTTAGATGTGTTATTGTTCAAACAATGTTCTAATCTACTATTGTTGTGATTGCTTGTTTAAAACTTGATCTTTATACTACAATTATCTATGGTCAAGGTAATTTACTCTTTCAGTACACTGTTAAAAAGCTAGTAAAAGCCCGCTCAATGAATCTTTTGCAGCATTTTAACACCACATTTTAAATGCTTCTAACCTTTTCTATGCCTACCGCTCACGTTTTGCACCCGTACAGAGGCTGGACTCTGGACCCTGCCCTATCTTTTGCTTTATATTTTAACTACTCAATCCATCCTGAATAACTATGTTCTAAACCAACCATTATTTAATGTTATACTTTAAACAAACATTAGACATATATTTCCAAAAATTTGTAGATTTTAATTCGTGACTTAATTAATAACGGTTGTTTGCAGTTCTATATTACTATACGAAGTATTTAATGGGCTGAAATGTTTGAATATACAAACTACAGATCCCTATCGTATTTGTGCAGTTTTGTTCGAAATTGCTTAGAGTTTTATAAAACGGTCAACATCTGACTGATTCCGTTTAATGAATTAAAAATTTAGGAGAGATAAAAACTTTTTGCCATATCACGGGTACAACTCTCGATAATAAATTAATGATTAACAACGCTGACTTTCACGAACATGCCAAACAAAGAGGGGTAGTTTTTTTTTCGGGGTAGGATGTTTTCAATCAGATTACGACACGCCCATGATACTTGCAGGTAAATATGTGGAATATTAGGAATTTCGTTACTGATGTGTGTGTCAAGTGCTGGTAGGAGATTTTTGCAAACTGCACTTCAATCCTCATTACGCCAGTACCGTCGTATCTATTTATTATTTATTACTATTTGTGGCGACTTGTTTAACGGTGAATGCTGAACAACTTTATCAATTTATCATTATGTACTTTACGATGCATTTCAGTTTTACGAAAATAATAAAAATTAAATGTTTATCTACATATTTGTACAAGTAGTTAAGTAACTACTTACAATTATCATAGTACGTAATTCCCTATATTCCATTACAAAACTCCATTTTTACCATACAACTTCCATATTAGGAGCTACCTTTATCTGAAACAAACCAGAAATTACAAATTCAGTAAAATTAGTAAACATAGTACACAACTAAATGTTCATTTCGTTATTGATTACACTAGAACGCAAATTGATGTTTGCGGTACACTTGACACTGAGAAACTCAAACATAATTAATAATTCATAATTAAGTACGAACGAAACGTAATATATAATGACTGCAAATCTGCTTCATGTAGTAATGGCTAGTGTGAAATGGTTAATAAATTAATCAACCAATTATTTATGTATAGGTAGTATGTACATAAATATCCATGTTCCTTGCAAAGGATGAGTAACCCAAGACATCTGTCACATCTCATACTAAACTTTGAATTTAAAGTACCGATCCTCATTTTATTATACACTATAGGAATTTTTTGTAGCAATTTAAAATGAAATTAGCGAATGACGTGGTTTAGGCATCTAGATCACAGTTTAGCATTCATTTTAAGGATTAATTTTTATCCACTACAAATTAATGAGGAAAAATTATTGCTAGTGTCACACCCTCGTCGGGAATCGATCCCGGGACCGTTGGCTTTACGCACCAACGCTCTTACTTAATTTGAGGTAATTTGTAGTGGATAAAAATTAAATGAATTTTCACATTAATATTAAATGTTAGCCACTATTGAAAGTTCTTTAAAATATTTTATTTGAATTTTTATGGAAATAACAATATTTAGTTTTTCATTTTACCTATGTGTATGTAAATCTAAAAAGTCGTTAAATTAATAGAACATATTATCAAAATGATGTTTCAGTTATTTGATGTTACTTCACTTTTAAGATAAATTGTAGCTCCAATCGCACCTGCTACCTAACAACATTAAATTTGGTGTTGTGTAAACAAGGAAAATCGCTCACTGATAAGGCTCTACTAACGGTTAATGCCAAATTATCTGTATAAACAGATTATCCCGGGCGATATAAACAAAGATCAGGGACTTGTCCCATCGGACACGAAACGAAAGCACTCCGTAGGTTGTATCTACACATTGCGAACACATGTGGAAAGCTGGAGGGTGTCATAAGTAAACAGAATGCGGCAATGGTTATTTTCGTTCGATTTTCTTTCAGTTTCAGGTTCAACGAAAATATGAATAATAAATTTGGAAAGCTTGAAGGCTGATGACCTACATCCGTCTTATGAATATCGGAAACATGTTCGGAACTATACCGAAATTGAAAGCTACATTTTTACCATAAAACTGCAAAGTTTCCTAATACTTCAATGTAAACGAATGTTTACTTAATATTACTGCAGTGGAACATACTGATCACCTTTTCTATCTCTCATTATCTTCAATTTATCCCTGTTCATATCTAGGCCTCTTTCTTCGATGTATCTTTCCATTTTTCTCATCATTTCTGTCATCCCCTCTTTATTGTTCCTCATCAATACTATATATCATCCGCGTAAGATATTGTCCTTACTTTTTTCTTTCCCATGACTCCTCCCATTTGAATTTTCCTCATTGTATTTTCTAGATCCGCAAAAGCTAGGTTGAAAACACCTGTACTCAAGGAACATCCATGTCTCACCCCTTCAATCGTGCTAATTTTTTCAGAAATAAATTTCTCCTGTTCACTTCCTTAACTTCGTATTTATTTCTTTTTCTTCCATTATACTCCTTATTATTCCATGTAGATTCTCTATAATCTCTTCTCCTGCTGCTTTCAGGTATATATACATACACATGTATATATATATATATATAGAGCACGTTTAATATGTACAGTTTATTAAATATTTTTGGTAGTGCCTCTTTTACAAAATGGAACAACTAACAAGAACAAAAACCCAAAAAATTGTATGTATTAAAACTCATTAATAGATAGTTCGATTGTAAAAGACCAGCGTTTTACATAGTTATACGAAAGTTTTGTCTTCATGAAACTCTTTACGTTTTTTTACATAAGATTTGAAAAAAGATTATTAGAACTGTATAGTTTTGATTAAGAATTCAATATCTTCAGTATGTTTGTCTGAGAATTTTAGTTTTAATCACCCTTTATAAATATCTATTTTAAGTTAAGGGAGTGTGCATATACTCGGTAAGTTTTGCATAAATTTACATAATCCTTGTCTTAAAGAGATAATACCCACCTGACTACGTTACCTGAAAGTTCAGTTTTACCTATGGATATTACATGAGTGTATGGATTTAGTTTGAACGACCTTGACTTACGTTTACGTCCTTTTTATGAGTATTGATTTCTATTTAGAAAGGGAGCCTAGGACTACAAAAATCGAAACTTGCACGCTCTAAACATCAAGTCATAAAAAATTTACTGCAGGAAAACACTAAGCAGTGATTTCGATTTTCAAAACCATTTTTATAGCAAATAACGGCAAAACAAGTAGAAAAAGGATTACTGAAAGTGAAATTTCAAATATCCTTATTTATTATTAATTAGCATATTAAAGAAGGGTTGTTTCTTTATCTATTACAATTGGGAAAATCTTATCGTCATAAGTAAAACAATTGCTACTAGATGTATTTCGAGAAAGGCCCACAATTAGTGTCGGAAATGATTCACATTCTCTATTAAGCAATAAATGTATCAATTTAGTTCATTACCTGTACCTGCATGTCTTTAGGTAGCTTAAAAACTTGAGTGAATATTGAGTAGAATAAGGGCAATTCGTATTCAATTTTAGAGTATCATATGCTGACGGAGTATATACACGGGCAACAGTGGGGGTTCTTGTAGCCTATCATTTAAATACAAATAATGACTGCAAAAAACTTGATTCATACAAGTGATAAGAGGTGTTTTATTTTTTGTATCGTCAAATAAATATCTTCTGCAGATATATAGTTGATAATAATACATTTTGGATGTTATATCCGCGTTCACGTATTACTATTTCGGCGAAAGATAATGTCAGGTTGCCATGAATGGTTTATCCATTTTAAATTAGAAAGGATCAGGCTCATATGGCAACCGCGAAAGGCGATGATAGTTTGATAAGACGAAAGTGGGCAGAAGAGATTTCAATGTCAACGAATCCACGAACGTTTTACAACGACTTGGTAAGGTGCGGAAAATTGCTGGATTGGTATTGCATGAACTCAAAATCGATGTTAAAATTTTCAACAAAATGACAGCCCATATTTAACATATTAGGGAGGAGATCCTTACGTGCATTAAATATGAGCATTTAAAGTCTGCTTAACTAAATCCCTATCTGGTCGTTAAATACTGATCGACAAACACACTAGTGATCCTACCCTAGACAAAAATTTTCAGTCTCTCTCCAGTTTCTCTGAGTCTCTGAGAGCGTCTCTCACAGTCTTTCACAGTCTCTCAGTTATTGCCTAGGTGTTTTTATGGATCTCTCACAGTCTCTCTATGAGAGACTCGAACGATAAAATTGTTAATTCAGAGATTCGAGTCTCTCACAGAGAGACTGAATGAATAAAACTGCAATATTGAGAGACTCGAGTCTCTCGTAGAAAGACTGGGATCTCTGAAATATATTGAACTTAGAAAATTTTAACCATGACTATCGAGACACCACTTATTGAGAGATCACCCGTTCAAAGATTCGAGTCTCTGGCTCAGAGACTGAATACGAAATCAGGATCTCCCTATGAACGACTCGAATCTCTCCTTCAGAGACGCTAAACAGTTTTTTTGACAGTCTCTCTCTCAGCGACACCAGAGAGACTCGAGTCTCGCTTTCAGAGACTTTGAGAGACTGAACATTTTTATCTCGGGTATAAGAATTCCTTTTTTAATTCGGACGTACAGAACCCTAAAAGCTATATAATTTAAACATTAGTAAAAGTCTAAGATAACCGTTTTGAAACAAAAACAAGTGTGTGACGTTCTGTATATAAACAAAATGAAACTTGTTTTCGTTTATGAAGCTTTTCATTTTATTATTTTTACAGATGGCTCCCAAGGGCTGCTATGCGGTCCGTGGAAGGCGACCCTTCCGACTGCGTCCTCGTGGTTGGTGTATCACGACCAAAAATGGCTGCGACCATCCTTGTTATTATGTTGTTGTCCTTGTTCCTAACTTTCCATATCCTTTACGATAGCGCCCTAAACAGTCTCCAGGCTGCTAGCAATGATCGACCCCGACCGCCGACTCTTCTGTTTTCGAAACAATTTTATCCATCCGCTACCAGGTAAATGTTTATTCAAAATAACGCATTAGGAACGCCCTTCTACTTTCTTTCCGAAAACCTCTTTAAGAGAAACATTCAGCATTTGCAATCCTTTTATTAAATTAAGCCTTAATTGTTAATTAAGTATGCAGCATACACGCCTTTTTGCTTAATTCCATCGACTTCACTCTCCGAGACGGAATAGCAAGGATGCTATTTAGTGACAAAGGATAATACCCAATCCTTACTAACAAATCAGAAGCACTAATTGAGTGGTATTTTGCTCAAATATCCGATACATTATTATTGTATTTTACAATATTTGAAAACACCCCTGTAAAAGGTTTCAAACTATTTTGAACTTTCTAGGCACAAATGGCTAACAAAATATATAATGTATTTTGTTTGAATGATGTCTCCCAGAATCTTTCAGAGCCACTCAGCGTCTCTGAGAGCGTCTCTCACAGTCTCTCAGTTATTGCCTAGGGGTTTTTAATTATCTATCACAGACTCTGTATGAGAGACTTGAACGATAAAATTGTTATTTCAGAGATTCGAACCTCTCACAGAGAGGGTGAATGAATAAAACTGAAAAATTGAGAGACCCGAGTCTCTCGCAGAAAGACTGGGATCTCTGAAATATGTACCACTTATTAAGAGATTCGAGTCTCTCGTTCAGAGATCCTAAACAATTTTTTTGACAGTCTCTCGACAGTCTCTCAGCGACACCAGAGAGACTCGATGATAGACGGAGACTCGAGTCTCGCTTTAAGAGACTCTGAGAGACTGAACATTTTTATCTCGGAATTATGATTACATCTATAGATGTAAACAAAGGCGGTCATTTATTGACAGTTTTAATGCCTGTGTGCCCCACTTTATTATTTTTTTTATACAGATTTAGGTGGGTTAAATTGAGTTTTAATTTCGCTTATTTTTTCCATTTTCCAATAAACTATCTACAGCTCCTAGATATAACTGCTCATTTTAAGGCATTTAAGAAGTTGTATATAGATTACTTGGTAAGACTCATTAATTTAACATTATTTTGATATATTATTACTATTAACGCTGCATATTGTATTAAGTTTTCAATAAATTTTACGTTCTTTTTACTGCTGTTATATGAATGAGTCCATACAGAGTTATGTGGCATCTTACGTCTTTTGGAATTTTGTTGCTCGACTAAACTGAGATACCTAAAACAAATTTTATTGTGTGTTCCACGTTACATTCATCCTTGATTTCGACGTTCGGCATGTTTCTTGCACCTCGTTAAATATTCATGAAATATATTTCCTTTCAAAAACTAATATTCGCTACACGTACCGCACGTATTCGTTACGAGTTATATTCTGAAACTTACTTCTCTCTTTTTTCTTTTCAAAATAGAAAAAATAATATCAAATAAAATGAATACATTACAGGAGCTAACTTTCAAAACGCCAGGATCTGCATGAAACGACGAAAAAAGTACGTCCTTATTCCAACTTGTTATGTGTTAAATTCGATTACTTTTGATGCAAATCAAAGAAAAAGTTTGTAAATTGGCTTATTCTAGCTTATCGTATCATAATCAAATTTTTCTGATTACTTTATAAATGATTATTCTTCTGAAGATTACCTTTTAGGATGAAACTTCATGTAAAAATTGAACACTGGAGAATATGTTGTTTTTATTTATATTTCATAATAAATTTAGATGCAGAAACAAGTAATCATTTGAATCTTATACGAGGGGCTGCTGAATAGTTTTGCGCTTTGAACCGACAGAAGTATTTGTAGAAATGCCTAAAAAAACTACGTTACCGAAGAAAACATTGAAAAAATATGTATAGTTGTTCCAGAAGATCAGAGAATCAAGCTGTCAGACAGTTGAAATCATAGGCATTTGCAAAGAATGAACTGATGACATTTTATATAATCATTTGCGCATGAAAAGGGGGTGCTCGCGGTGGATGTCAAAAATATTTACTCCATTGCATAAGCAGCGTTGGGCAGAAATTTGTTTTAGACACCGGTGGCGAAAATTCTAACCACTTTTCCTTTTGCATTGGCAGTATTGAATACTGATTGAAACATGGGTACGGAAGTATGATCGAGTGTCAAAGCAGTAGCTAGAAAAGGAAAAACGGTCACCGGTGTCACTAGTTTTTGGGACTGTGAAGAGATTTTGTTCATCAACTACCTTCCGAAAAAAAAAACTGCAATAAATGGGTACTATTAAAAGTGCGTCAAGTGGTTGACAAATTGGCGAAAGGAGTCTTGTTCTTACAGGACAATGCACCCGTGCACACTGTGCAAGTTGGAAGACGTGCCCTAAGAAAGACAGAAACCTCCCAGGACGAATTCATTTTCGAGCGACGAAGAAATAAATACTTTAACAGCCCTTTATGACAAATGTAACAAGTGTATTAAAGTAGAGAAAGATTAGATAGAGATACATATTTTTTATAAATTTCAGTCTGCATTTTAAAGCCCTAAGCTCAAAACTTTTTCAGCCACCCCTCGTATGTATATCGTGCGTTCTGGATTAGTTGAGGGCGCGTTAATTTATTTTGTATTTTCTTTTAGGAGACTACCTCAGGCGATAATAATAGGGGTGAGAAAGTGTGGCACCCGGGCTCTACTGGAGATGCTATCTCTCCATCCGGCAATTCAAAAAGCTGCGGGGGAAGTTCACTTTTTCGACAGGGATGAAAATTACTACAGGGGCTTGGATTGGTACAGGATGAAGATGCCTCATTCGTATCCTGAACAAATCACAATTGAAAAAAGTCCCAGCTACTTCGTTACGCCAGAGGTAACTTTGTTGTTATTAATCAGAATTCCGTGTCATACTTTTTAATCAATCAAGTA